GGATAGTTATATGATGTAGTGTTGATATTACTAAGTTGCAAGTAAATCAGTAACCAGTTTCCATGTCTGAAAGGGTAGAAAAACATTTTACTAGACTTTTGTGTTTCTGCTAGAAAAGGGCTGTAGCTTTAAAGGTAAACTGAAGTGTTGCTGGACTTTTGGCCTGCTTAATGAGGTATCTTAACCTCTGAAAATGCCAGCATTTATATCAGAAGCTGGGAAAATTACCTGACCTCTCAACACCTGACCCTTGCCTGGAACTATTATATAAAGTGCCAAAATCATAGTAAACACCTACAAGACAGTCCAGTTCCCAGACTTGCACCAGTGCCCTGGCATTGCTCCGCCTACCGGTGAAGTTGTAGCCTGGTTCTTCTTGGGACTATCTCTGAGAGGAAAACTTAAAGGTCTCCAGGGAAGCAAAAAGTCTATTTGGAAGAAAGTACCTTACTCAAAAAACCTCTCAAAATATACACAGCAATTTCAAACGTGTTCTGATGCAAGCATCTGTAATCCTGCACTTTAAATTCAGCAAGCAACTGGACCAGAAACACAAAGTAAAATGTCAATAAGAGATTTCAACAAATTTTGAGATGTTGCTATTATGCACAAACTGCAAGCATATCTAATCCTTTTTAAATTCAGTCAATTCAAATGGAAAGCAATAAATGTAATGATAGGAAAGAAAGGTCACTTTAAGGACACTAGTTTTTATAAAAGTGCTAACTAACATCTGCAAACCATAATTGATGTTTATGAAAATTACAAAGAAGAAGATGATGATGATGTCAATGAAGAAGAAAGTAATAACAAAAGAACACTTCATTATTAGGAAGCTGTACCCCAGACATAATGCCAAAATCAAGGTGAAATAACTACAATACATTAAAGAAAACTCCTCAGATCTGACTGATTTCTAGTTTTTTGTCAGTGAAGCGTTGACCAAGAAAATTCCTTTTACTCCTCATTTGGATGTCATGACCTATGAAAAATATAGCATTTAACAAAGCCATTTGAAGTACTGCAATCTAAGGATGGTGCCCCTAATGGTACCAGAACTGTGAACAATATCATTAAAAACTGTTTACCTCCTATGGTCATTGTTCCCACAGTTATGTGAGCCCCATTAAACCTGAGGTCAAATTTAATCTGAGAATTTGGAGACAAACTTCCTGAGTTAAAACATAATCAAATTGCCTTGGGATTATTCCAAAGAGAGAAATGGAGACATATTTTACCTTTTACTTTTGTCATTACAGGAAGAGTAAATACCCTGTAAGGAAAAGAAAGAAGGAGGGGGAGGGGGAAACAGGCTGATGATGGGGATGATTAACAGTGTCTTATATTAAAAGCTAACAGTGTAGTCATAGAAGTAATTAACCAAGTAATAAACCAAATAACCAGTAATAAACCAATATTATTGCTACCTGCATTTTTAACTCTAGTGGCTGAATTAGAGTGTATGATTATTAATTAGAAGAAGACATGAATCTGGCAGCTGCTACTCCATTTTACCTGACAGCATTAAGTATCAAATAACATACTTTTTCTCTATTTTTTTATATTACCAGAAAAAAACAAACAAACAACAAACTTGCTTTTGACAAATAATAGAAAAGAATTAGAAAATCACTTCTCCCCCCCCAGTTTTTCAGTTCAATATGCATCAAAAAAGAGAATTTGGAAAAAAAAAAAAAAACAAAAAACAACACACACACACAAAAAAGTCATGGTTATTTTAATGCCTATAAGAAAAAATTCAAATGAAGACAAAATTGAGCAATTTATGGATATCCATTATTACATATCAAAGTTGTTATTGCTCAAAAGGAAAAACAACTCCTACAGGGATTAAAGTGACAAAACCTCCTCTTCTTACATTAGGTATTGTTTATATTACACATAATTGAGACAGTAAAACTCAGCCTCACAGGAAAACACATTCATTTTTTCAAACTCACATTCATTAATTTGATGTTACTTAGAGGCTGAATTTCACTTTAAAAGATGTGGTGAAATAACCACAGATCAGTAATTCATACATTTATATTCAACTTTTTCCATAGATATGAAACCTTTTACAAAATTAGATTTTTTTTTTTCCTTTCCTCTTTTTTGGGGTAGAAATTAATATTTAAATAACTGCTTCCAGATACAGTTTTGGGCATTTGTGGGACTAAAATTTCTAATTAAGTTTTTGTAGCCCTTAGACAAATTATTGCAGTATCCTTTTTAGTATCTTCTATTCAGAAATGTAGGCCAGCCAGCATTACCCAAACTTCTGTCTCAAATAAAGCATATTCTGTTCCATTTCTGACAGCAATGTGTGTACTCATTAATGGGGTGCTTGCTTGCTCAAGCAGCTCTGTATTAAGAAGGAGTATAGTTACATCTAACAGCAATCTATATTGTTAAAAGGTGGTTGTTAATTCTACAAATGCACTGAGGGATATTTAAAATTAAAAAATCACACCAGATATAGCTGTTGGTATGACTCAAAGACAGGATTCTAGATCTTATTAGCCCAGTTCTGACTTTTCTCAGAACAGTTTGGAAAAGGCAATTACTTCATATGGACTGCATTAAGATAATTTTATTGTTTTCACAGAAATAAAAAAAAAAAAAGTGGGTAAAAGCTGGCATGTAATTCATATGCAGTGGACTAGTTAGTCACAACTTCAGTTGCTATCAGTAGAAAAACTATCCTTAAACAGATTTGTGTTAACACATAAAAATGAATGGGAGAAAAAGTTTTCATTGGGACATTTCCCTAGGGCAGAGAAGGGAATCCCAGCTCTATAAACACACTCAGCTGTGCATAGGTGGGTGTTGCTCCTGCCCCTGTCCTGGACACCGGACACACTGAGTTATGCAAACAATACTTGTAAGCCACCTCTATGCAGTGGATGATGTTTTGATCTTCCTCTTGATTTTTTTACAACAGAGTGGCTACAACAGAATATCTCTTTCCTGCTTTTTTATTGGGATCATGCTCTTTCCTGTACCACTTTTCTCCTGAGCTTCATCTTCTGCATCTTTCCAGCTTAGCCACCCCCAGTGTCCATTCAATGATAACCCCACTGTCATCCACAGAACGTCCTATTAGCTCCCTCACCATATGGATCTCCAATCCCCTGCACAAAACATTCTCCTCTACTCTGCACAGATCTGTGCTCGCTGCCAGGGCAGCTCTGTGTTCACTAGCACAGCTCTGCCAGCATTTTGGTTCCAGCAGGCACTGGTATTCTCACACTGCCTCACACTGCCTCACTACTACAGTGTTTTATCAATTGTGGAATCACAGCAGATATAGCACATAAAGTTCAAGAAATTGCATCAGGACTGGGTGGAATAATATTTAGTGAGGAAAACCTTCTCTTAATTAATAATAAAGAAATTAAAATGAGATTTTTCCCAGAAACTATTTTACAAAGATATATTAAAAGCACTGCGGGTATTTAGGTTAACTGTGCAAAAGTTAGGGGCTGCCTGTATCCTGCATAGATAGTGTTTAGCCTCAGGAACATATTCTGGCTGGGTAAATTCCAGAACGCTAAGTATGTTTTATGTAAAAATAGAAATGTGCCCATTTACACGTTTGAAATGACTGATTATGAGAATTCTGAAGCATTACTTTACTATTTCTGGGTGAAGTAGAGAGATTAGAAATTCCAGATTTGCATAAGGCATTCATCATAATGAGTAGAGAGAACACATAAAGAAAGAGGTAGAATATATGTAGATAGGGTTGATAAATACAGAAACAAAAAACTTACTGTTATAAGCAAATTTTATTTTTTTTTTTTTTAATAATTATAGAGCAGTAGTGGGACCATTGGAAAAAACAAAACAAACTACTGAACACCTGACCTGCAGTGCATGACCCAAAACTTGATGATATTAGTAAACCTTTGGGTCACTGGGCTGTTTCTGTAAGTCCTTACCAGTGAATAGTAGGAGACAAGATGGAAAGGTGCTGGTTGCACACTGGTGTTTTGGCACTTTGGGCACTGCTGAGCAGTGCTGGCACAGCAGCAGCACTGTCCCTCCTACATTCCTCCCTCATCAATTGGGCTGGGGGTGGGCTGGATCCTGGGAGGAGACACAACCAGTCCAGATGATCCAAATTAACCAAAGGGATATTCCATACCCTACAATGTCAGCTCAGATATAACAGTCAGGAAAGAAGAAGAAACTGGGGGCGTTTGTTATTTTACAGTGTTTGCCTTCTGTAGTCAGCAGTCTGTGTGCTGAAGCTCTGCTTTCTGGGAATTGGCTGAACATTCCTCACTGATAGGGGTACAGATTAAACTTTCTTTCCCCCTTGCTTATGCATGTGCTAACTTTCCCTTCTTTTGCTTTAGTAAACTGCCTTATCTCAACCCATTTTCCATCTTATTTTCTCTACCATCTCCCTCTGGGAAGGGAATTGATAGATTGGCTTGGGGGGCTGCTGGCATCCAGCCAGGGTCAACCCACTACACTGCCTTTGCATATCTCTTTTGTTTTTGCTTTTGTTTGAATGGCATAGATATAGTATATATATAATATGTGTATGTATGGCTATACTAAAGACAATTAATAATTGATAATCCTAGAATAATTGACATTACTCCAAATCTTTTATCTTAGTAATTGAGAGCAAGTAGAATGACAATAAGTTCTTAGAATTGAAATCTCAAACAGTGCAAGGCTATAAAAATCATCATTAATATTCTGAATTGTATCTGAAAGCACATTCAAAGCCAGAAAAGAATTTAGTGCAGGTGTCAGCAGGATTGACATAATTTTTTGTTCTTCATCCAATTAGAGTAAACAAAACATAAGAGATGATGATCTTATTCTAGAATATTGAAAAGGAGATATCTTTAAAAATTAAGACTCTCTCTAATTGTGAATATCTTGGCAAGTAAAGACATCTATTTCATGAAAGAGCTCTACAATATTTACAATATTTTTATTACAGATTGCCTGCAACAATTCTATCTTCTGTTTTTCAGACCTGAAGACCTATTTTGACTCTTCCCAGAAGCCATAAATTGAATACTCCACCAGACTTAACTTCAGTAAGTATTGGCTGTTTTTATCAAAGGTTTATACCACATTATGCCACTATAGAGACCCAGGGGGCCATTTGCCTGGTTTAGGGAGACACAAGAAGCTTCCCTCAAAAAGCTGTTAGACCCCATTTGCTTCTTTCCCTGTTCTTATGTCTGTTCCTGTGTCCTAGAGTAATGTCTTATTAATATTCTATCATAGAGTAACAAAGTCTTATTCAACTCTTGTTTACCACTGGATTCTGACAGTAAAACAGAAGAAATAAGATAAAATGATTTCCTAATAACTTCATGAAAGAGCTGGAACCTGCTTGCCATGGTGCCTGGGAGATGTGCACTGCCAGTCATCTCTCCTAACTTAATGCTAGAGTCATCCAACTTTTCGGCATGGAAGGGACACATCAGCAATACATTTCCATTAGGGTACAACAAAAATTTAGATCTCTAGGCTACAGTTTAACTTGGCTACAGTTTAACAAAAAAAATTCTGATTGACATTTGCAATACATATTATCTCAGTCTATTAAAAAGAGCAAAAATTCTCTCTTCCCAAATAGGGAGCCTAAGCAATACAGCTTTTACAAAGATAAAGCCATGGAACAATGATACCATTCTACTAACAAATTAATTTTCTTTTTAATGAGAGCCTGTTTCAATAGAGAAACTTAAATGATGAAATATCTTCAATTCCCCATGAGAAACGTCTAAAATTTTGAGATTATTCAGTTTGCACAGAATTTTCCTTAGATTTCTGCATAATTCCTAAGAAGTTTTGTCCATCTTTAGCACAGAGATTTCCTTCCCCTGTAAACAAATACCTGTGAAACTTGTTAAGTAAGTATGCATCTGTCACATCTATCTAGCATGCTAATTTTCATAATGGATGACAACTCATAGGTGCCTCCAGTTGTTTTGTGTTAATTTATATGATCCACAGAGGGGATCTAAATTTTCCACCTTTGAAACTTGGCATAAAAAGCAAGAAAAGTCTTATAGTTAAAGCAGATACTTGGTGAACTAGGCAGCAGAGAACTTGTATGGGAATACAATTCTCTGATTGTACTTAAGTCAGTGGAACTTAGAGAACAGTACCAACTACACATTTCTCTAACTATAGGGTCTGATTTGTCAAAGTGCAAGTGCAGCCAACAGAAACTGTGCTTTGAATGTATAAAACGCAATATAAACACTTCAAAAGGAGATCATACATTTTTTATACTGGACACTAAGAATTTCTAGAATCTATTGAATTGAATCAATCAAAGGGCAACAAACCTTATTTAATACAGTGGTCATATTACTCTGTTTATTTTACAAAACCTTATGGAAATAAAAATTCACTGTTTTATGTGAAAAAGAAAAAATTCTGAGTGCAAATGGGGGAAATGGCACAAAATATATCACACTTTTTTATGAAAAGCAGTTGAGTGTAAGTCCACATATTATATAATGAGATGTTTTAATATCAATTATATTCAATCACATTGGAAAAAAGTAGTTCATTACCATACAATAAATATTATAATGCAACAGGATTCATAATTTAATTTTCAGTTTTCCATTAAAAATTTTAAATGCTTAGTTAGAGCTCTATCATGATTTTTTTTTCCTTTCACACTCTTTAATAAATATCTGGATTTTATTTAATAAAAATATTCAAATTATATGTGAATCACATAAAATTAAAAAAAAAATAATGTGACTTGTGTTACAGCTTAACTAAATACACAAGGCATGCGTCTCTCTTTATATCTGGAGAGAATTAGGTAGCCCTGTGAGGGTGGGATACACTTCTACACAGCTGTGAAGAAATGCAACAAAGTATTTCTGTGATTCTATTTTAAGACTGAATTACTGTAATTTTGATGTATTTAGACCCTATACATCACAGCAGAAATTTGTGCACTACACAAAGTAAAAAAGAAAAAAGCTTTCGTTTTAAACTGGATTCTCCTTAATTCAGAGATGTTCTATTGACTTGTGGCTCCTGATGTTGTTGTATTGTTCCTAGAAACCATAGGTTTTAGATTATTTTTAGCCTTTAGGCAGCACAGAATACCAAATAATACAAAATAATGTAAAGTCAAATAAATCCCTTGGTAGCATTGTGTCAGCTAGATACATTATACTCTAAAAAATAAATTAATCTTGCCCTTAATTCATTGTTGTTTACTACCTACATTAAAAATGTACTAAGAAACTACATGTTTTACATTTTGCAAGATTTTGCTGTTTCTTTCCTTCAACAAATAAAGCAAATTTATTAGTTATTTATAAATATAAATAATGTAGATATTTATATAAAAAGCTTATCTGAAAAAAACCCTAGTACTAGTAGATTCCAGCTTTACTCAGAGAAGAATATTTCACATCTTTATTTTTTAATACAGTGGTAGTGAATATCAGTCTTAGCTGCCTCTTCTGAAAGTTAAAGTCCTCTATTTCTTCAAAGAAAAAAAAAAATGGCCTCTGTGCCCATGGTGTAAACATGCTTAGCTGGCCCTTGAGGGCCCAATCCAACCCAGCTGGAGACAATGCCTGATTTTTGATGGAATTCAGTGTATAGTTGAATTGGGCCTTAAGGGTAGGGCTGACTAAAAAATGAGTTTTATCAAACTCAAAAACTTAAAACTCATCTAAGCCACAGTCTAAATCCCGTCAGCTTTAATAGCAGCTGAATCTGCCCTCAGCCCGTGGCCATTCTCTGAATCTTACCAGCTAAATGGTGTTTACTGCAATACCAGTAGGAGTATGCAAGGAAAAGAAAAATCACAATAAAATTCAATGTAAAGGATAAATAGATTCTTTTACCTCGAAGAACATTGCTTTTCTAACCACAGTCTACAAATCTTGTGATTTTCAACACTTTGTGGATGCTCTTGTCAATATTACAAAGTGTGATACAGCCAGACACATAATTGGAGAAGTCAACATGGATATTTCAGGATATGCAGAAAAATTTTTCAGTGTAATATTAGTTTTGATAGAAAACCTTTAATATAGCTGCTAAAGTAAAGGAATACCTGCATAGGATGCTGAAGGCTGAATTCATTACTTCAATTAAAGCAACTAGATCTATACAGCTCCATTCAGAGATGTGGAAGTCAGCAGCTCTGCTTGAACATTTCATTTTCATTCTGATAATACTGACATTCTCCCTATAAACAGCTTTAAATGGAGAATGAAAAATAATAAAATATATTCTTATTTTAATTGTATGCAAAGAAAAGAGGAGAGTAATCTAAAATGTGAGAGTATAAGATAATTAACAATCACATAAAATGATAGCTTTGTTATGCTGATTAAGACACTATGAAGCTTGATACTGAAATTCATCAGAAATTCGTGCCATTCTCTTTGTATACATGTCTGTAAAATTAGGTAAATTCGGATTATAGAAACACAAGGAGATCTTGTGGATTTGGATTTCATTTTAATTTATGAAGGGCTAAGCAAATAACATTTTTTCTATAATCAGTGAGGGAAAAATATTTCTGTTTCTCCCTAAAGGAATTTGACAGCACTCATTGAATTAATCAACAATAATTCATGGATTAATATCAGTTTAGGCAGATTTGCAGATGTTTTATATCAGGAAAGCAATACAAACCAGATTAGTTGGCCTGTCTCATGATTTATGAGCTTGACAGCAAATGGAACTAACAATTTAGTGGCAGTTGAAGAGATAATCCTTTCTTGATTCAATTTTAGCCTTTTCTTGAAGATACATAAAATGTTTTCCAGCTAGCAGAAGAAGTTGAAGAAACTTTGTTTTTCTGTCACAAGTATGAGGAAAATATGTCATTCCAAGATTCACTCTCTGTAATGAGTGGGTTATGTATGGTGTCTAAGACGAAAGTTTTATCTTTCACAACAGACTTTGGCTAGAATTAATCCCTTGGGGATTAATTCCCACTCTTTAATATTGTCTGAGTGGAGGTTCTCTTTGCTGGTACACATTAAGTAAATACAATTTTATAACAATAAAGCAGGTTCAGCCAAAGTAATAAATGAGCTTCCCCAAGGAAGAGATACTATTCCAATAAATGACACCGAGCAAGGAATCTGGTAGTTTTCTGTGCAACCTGGAAAATAGTAAAGTTTCAAAGTCTGAAATTCAGCCTGGCGTGGATAGGTCTTCCACTTAAAGGTGTTCAAATTCCCAACAACTTTTCAATGGCAATTTTCTCCCTAAAAGGCATATTTCGGTATGGATACTACGGAGGGTTCTTATGTGCTGCAGGGTGCTGGGTAAGCAGAGGTAGGAAAAGTCTCTCTCTAGTCTCACAGATGTCAGCAAACTCTCCCAGAATCTTCAGGGATAAACAACAGAAACTTCAGCTCATTCTGCTATTCTGACTTGGCCTGCTCTGAGTTTGTCAGCCTCAGGTGTGAACAAGGGACAGAGATTACAGTGACTGTATTAGAAGTACCAGAGAATTGTGCTAGAAGGAGAGACAAGAACTTTCTCTCATCAGTGAGATTCAGGTAAGTGGGAGAATTTTCAGTAGTTTTCATGGTAAATTTGTCTGGAATGCCTTTAAATTATAGCTCCCACCCAATGCAAACCAAAACAAGGAAGCACATAATGTTGAAAATTCTGTTCAGTCCATTGTGCAAAACCATGACAACATTCTGTTTCTCTGTCACTGGGCACATCAAAATGTTTGTTGAGACTGTGACTCTTCAACCCAAAACATTCTCTCCCAAGAACTCTGTTTGGGGAATCACTAAGCCCATGGATAATATCTGAACACCTGAGAGGCATCACTTAGACATTTTTACACCTATTTCTATGCCTGAAGAGTTCTTAGTGTTTTACCAAAGCCATCTCAGGTGGCATTTCTGCAGTACTTGCACTACTTGTAAGGCTTGTCCCCCACTGGTTCATGTGGGTCCTGTTACAGGAATTCTCATAACATGCAACCCAAATAATGGATTACAAAAATTTAAAGGTATATCCATTAAAACCTGAACCACTCATCCCTTTGCATCAGACTGAGTTTAACAATGCAGTGAACTGCTCACAGTGCCCTTTCTCTGGCCCCTAGGCCTCTTAGGGTCGGGCCTGCTCCAAGTGAAGCTTTATCTATGAGGTGCAGTCTCTCCAGGGTTACCTGACCATCCTTGGGCTAGTCTCATGCACAGCCACTGATTCTTCAAGGTGCTGCAACATGAACTCTTGGTATTTTGAGGTGTATCTTCTCCAGAATGGATTTATCCTCAGGTCCCTTCCAAGGCATACCTGCTGTGGCACAGTGTTGAAAACATTTTTGGAAATGTCCATAGTTGCCATCTCATCAGAATTCAACACATTACAGAAACTTGTGCAAGATTTCCCATTTCTCTTCCTTCTTCACATAGAGCACAAGGCAGGAAGGGCATGAAAAAGGGAATAGTGACAGAAAAAGGAAGTTTCTTTCATAGCTGTAATGAAGCTTTCTCAGAAGACATATCAATGTCGGCAAATAGTGGCCCGTGTGTACTTGAAATGTAACAGTCCCTTTCTCTTTTTGGTAGGTATAGTTTTTTGGTTCTTCTTTTACTGATGAGGAGAGGAAGAAAGCACATGGACGAAGAATCACAATAAGAGGAAAAATGATCTCTACAATTTTTCACCTTCCTAGATTCAAAGAGCTATATGAGATTAAGATTGTTAATGTATCAGTATAGAAGAATAGAGACTCTGACTCAGTTTTTGACTTGACACTGACCTTTTAAACACACTTGAGGAAACAGCATGTGTTGTGTTTATTCAAAGACCAGTAACCTGCAAAAAAATCCTTTTTTTGCATCTTCTGATATTTCACAGTCTTGTCAATGCATGTTCAAAAAGAAGCAGTCCTTGACTTAAAAAGCAGGTCCGTGTTTAGCAGCTTCAGAAATGTCCAGCTGGTTAGGATAAATGTGGCAATGTCTGGAAGGTGGCAGCACATGATGGTAGAGCAAATAAAGCACAGCCTAGTGTTTTATTGCAAGGTACTATTATATTAACTACAAAAATATTTATGACCCATAGTCAAGGCTCATTGATTTCTGGCTTCCCACATTCCCACAAACTTGTTTTGCTCAGTTTGTTGCTGAAGTTCCTGATTCAGCAAATCATGTGAGTGTGTAATAGCATGAACTTTTTTGATTTGTTTGTCTGCCTACTGGTAAACTACTAGTGACCTTCACAACAGTAGGGATGGGAGGGCAACACATGATGACATGGCAAAATAGCTTGGACCAGCTGCTCTTGGCAGGGGAGGTCAATATTCCTGTTCTGTCCATCTCTTCCTCTCCTGCCTCCAGTAAATCTGCATCTGCAGAATTATATGCTTAAATACTTTTAAATTCAAATAATTCCAAGAAAAGCCCCAGTTTCAAAGCAATTTGAAAACTATGAGTGAAGTCAGCTATTGTTTACGTATTGTGTCTATTTCAGAGGGAAAACACCCTTGGGAGAGGTCAGAACATTAACTATAACACAAGGATGTTAATTTGGATTCTAATTTGCTTTCCACTAGTGTTGCAGTCTTAAAATTTACACGAAGTAATACAGAATAATATAATAAATCTGAAAAATGGTCCTAGTGTCATTCCCATCAGTCTTTAATAATTTACAGCTGTCAGTTTCTATCCAGTATTTGTACAATAATACTGGTTCTTTTTCAGTCAGTTAAGAATGTGATGAATCAATCCGGAAGCCATCTCTATCCACATGAATGACAAGAAGGTGATCAGAAGTGCTCAGCATGGATTCACTAGAGGTGAATTATGCTTGTCCAACCTGATTGCCATCTGTCATGACGGGAGAGAAGTGGTCATTGTCTACCTTGACTTCAGCAACCCTTTCAACACTGCACAGCAACCTCACAAGCAAACTCAGAAAGTGTGGATGGGATAAGTAGTCAGGGAGATGGATTGAGAGCTGGCCAAATGGCAGATCCCAAAGGGTTGTAATCAGTGTCACAGAGTTGATTTGGAGGCTGGCACAAGGAGTGTCCCTCAAGGTTTAATACTGTGATGAGATCCAAATGCAAACACCTGTTGGACAGGAAAGCAATATGATTTGATTTAACTTTCTTACTACTACTTAGAGAATATTATAGATTTCTAAAGTGGAAATTCAGAAATTGCCAGAAATAATGTAAAAAATATCTTTTAGTGGCACGCTTTTGCCTTTTTAGTAGTATTCTAAGGCTATTATGAAATTATCCAGGCTATATCCAGATATTTCAATCTTCATACACAACATTGCCGAAACTGCCATATCACTATCAAAACCACTTCAGAATCTGGGATAGAAATGTGTTCCAAGGCTGGTACTCTGCTCTTTTAGCTTGCTATGCTGCACCGCTATGCTGCAGTGGAGAAGAACAGACATCCTCTGGACAAAAACATTATCCTTGTACAGTCTGCTGCTACAGAATTATTTTGAATACACCCATGCCCTAGTTCAGCAGTGGTTTTATACAGGGAGGTATTTCCAAGTAAGGGTGAAGTAGGAATTTGTGCAGAGCTCTCTCTGAATACATGAATCTCCCACAGCAAGCACACTATCAAAATGAGGTCTGATTTATCATTTATGCTTTTGTTAGCCAGAATGGTCACAAAACATCTGTTTCAATATAAAAGATTGTGAGCTGTATAGGAAAGGTGCAGGCATCACAGGAGAAAGTACTTAGAGAAAATTGCTTATTGAAATCCCTGCAGCTGGCTGTAGTTTAGAAGAGTAGAAAAGAATCATTTGGTCAGTGAGGGTTAAAAGGGGTATAAGGATAAATGTAGAGGGAGAAAATAGAAGATAAAATTGACCTGAGAAAGGTTGTAGTTGAATTTGGCTATTAAGAGCACTTTTATTTTAGTTTTTAAAAACTATTCTCCAATTAAATAGCTGAAAAACAGCTAATAAAATGTATCAATTAGTTCAGCATAGACTCACATGTTAATTAGAAACTTCATAACTATACAAAATTAAACAATGCAGTACATAGAGGGGAAAGAGAAGAGGTCTTTGCCTACAAATACAGTCATCAAGAAAGAGAAAGAAAGGCAAAATGTTGTCTACTGATCCAAAATATTCCTAATAAGTAGGAAAATGTGTCAAGTCTTTTAATTAACAAGGGCTGGGTTCCATCTGTATTTACAGTGTGTGTCCAGAGGTGGTCAATGTTAAAGATGATAATAATTAATTTGGCTTCAGACGAAGCCCAGAATTCGCTGATCATAGTGTACTCAGAGACACAGGCACCAACAAGGGAGGAGAGCACAAAGCACTTTGCTGGCTGTTGCTGTTCTGTGACATTGCTCTTTTCATAAACAACTTCAAGCCAGACAGTATCAAGAAAAGTACATTCTCATACTAATTTCACACATACTGTTGTGAGGTTTCATGGATTCAATGGGAGTGATGCCTTTGTGTCAAATCTCACAAAGTGTCTTTTGCCATCTGCTTAGAAGTGTAACATTGCCTGCACAGAACAATTCATGCTGCTTGTTCACCCCTTCCAACCTTTCAGGGGTCTGGGTCTTAAAACTAAGATTCTTAGTCCAGAGATATATTAAAGCAGTTCTTGTTCTCAATCATGTGCAGGGAGCATGCTGCATCACCTGGAGGATTCCTGCCAGGATGCTATGAATCATTACTCCAGATCCTTAAGCAAAATCTCATTTGTAAGGTATGAATGTTGCCTTATTTTCCCTTAAAACATTTTGGGTTAGGGTTTTTTTTTACTGCATTTTGTCTTGTCTCTATGAGTGATTGGGAGGCCTGTATACATGCTGCAGGCTGTTGCTGATTCACCTTCAACTGTGACATTTCCCATACTGGCATCTATTGCATTGACACACAAGGACTTTATAAGCTAGGATTTATACTAAATTTTTGTACAGAGGCATCTATTATTCCAGCAGTTTTAATCAGGCCTTGCTCAACATGCATGAGCACTCTCAAAGCACATTATTGTGTGTGCAGATGTTGCAGAAGCTGTATACATCTGAAAAGGGACAGAAATTAAACCAGAAATTATTTCTGTTGAAGTAATTAAGTTTGTAATGAGGTGACTAACTATGATAACATCCTTGCACAAATCCTTGGAAGGTGAACCTTCTGTGTGATTGGTAAAATATTTCAAAGTTTATAACTCTGTATTTCTCCATCTATACTGCAAAGGCACACTATCTATGGGAAGGGTCATATTTTAAAAGGGAGATTGTTCCTTGGACCCACCTACTCTATCTTATCACTGCCTAAAGGAAATTACAACAATTACTTCACTGGGAAAGTAATATTAAAATAAATATTTATATTACCTTTAATAATATTCAATAGGAAAAAAACAAAGACACCTGGTATCATCTGCATAGCATATTTCCTTTCACCCTCTGAAATCAGCAGCACAATAAAGGGCTGTGTCAATCAGGTGTCTGGAACTGTTGCCACAGTTCTGTGTTTTCTCTGTCCCAGCCATTCAATAAATCTTGCAAGAATTCATAATCTATTAATGACACAATCTAACCAAAACTCTTTTCTGAAATTTTGCAGTTGGACAAAATGATATAGTCAGATGTTCTAAAAGAAATAAATATGTTTTTAGTCATTTGTGTCTCAGTGTAGTTCTGAGCCAACAGTGGAACAATTCCATATGCTGATCCATCCTTACTCTGGCAACAGTTCTGTTGCTGTTGGCATATATATTCATATGGCTAAGTAACTTTCAGCAAGATCAAATTTTTCATATCTGGAGCTTTATTCACAGATCAAGACCTTTATTATGCATAAGAGAAGCTAAGGACAACAAAATAACAAACTAAAACCCTATTAAGCTTCAGAACCCAACTGAGAATACCCGTGTGCCAGGCCAAGGGAGCACATCATTACACCATTAAAAGTTAGCACTTTATCTAAGAAACATTATTAGATTTTCAAATATCATTATCAAGTCATAAGTAAAGGGTTCCAGAACTTTTTCTGAAAAGTCACTACTTAGCTTATCTTAGATGACAGGAAATAATGACTAATAAACAGGAAAATATAAAAAAACCCCAAACTTTTGGACTTAAAATTTATACTTTATATTGAGAAGGCATCCTAGTTATTAAGAGAAATTTAAAAACCAAAATTTGCACACAAATACTTGGCAATGACTTACTAATATAAGAAAAGTATAGTAGCATCTTTTAAAAAAACTTTAAAAACACTGTGAAGCTATTTGTAAAAAAAAAAAACTAGAGTTGCCTTAGAACACTTCTAATATACTGTGTCCTTGCAATTAATCTATTGTAAAAATCAGATCTTAGTTTTGCTGAAAACATGGCATCTAACTGTACCAAAATTTGGCACATGGGAAATAAATAAGTTGTTTTGATGATATTTAAGTACAAGAAACACATTTAAACACAAGCAATGTTATATAGCTCAAAACCATTAATATTGTAAATCAAGTCAATTAGTTAATTATTAGTATTATCACAGAGCCCAGAGATACAGAAAATTAAGGTCCATTCTGCTTATGAGACATCCTCTGCTTTGAAGTGCTTTCCATCTAAATAGACAACTCAAACTGGAAATAAAATCATTGCAGTGGAGTAAATGAAGCACAGAGATTTCATCACTTGTTCTTTGTATCTGAAAAGGTTTTTGAGGTGTTGTACACTGCACCTACCTACATTATTTTTATACATATAAAATATCTATTTGATGTAGCATGATGTAGTCCATAATATATTCTAATCCAAATAAGTATTAATAACCTTAATAGTCTGCCAGGAACTATCAGGCAGTCTATGATGGAGTTACCTCAAGACTATAGAGGGCAAACCATCATTATTATGACTTTATTAAGTGACATATTTTTCTTCAGTAAAAGATTAAACGTTTGACCTTGTAATGAGAACACCCTTTTTGCAGTTATGTTTAAAGGTTATAGGTGGAATTATTAATAATAAAAGTTCATAACCACTCATTACAGAATATGATTGAGATTACAGAATATGATTTAGTGAAGGAAAAAAAAAAAAAAGACAGAAGTACAAAAATTTGACCTCTC